ACTCCGGAAAAGTAACATCACATCCACCGAGCCACCTCGGCAGACATAAGAGAGGGTGGTCAGATACCCACCACAAAGCATACATCATTTGGCTGCCACCTCCGAGAACCGACAGGCAGCCTCTGGAGATACACCCATCACCTGAAGGACACCCTGCTTTACCTCCTGGAAATCCGGTATGGGAGCAAGGTGCCTCCAGATGATCCAGAGTCCACGGCAAACTACACCACTCCCGAGGAACCCCACAGAGTGGGATGAACCCCGGCACACTTCCCTCTACCTAGAAATCATAATGCCAGAGGGGAGGACCCCAGAGGCTACAAGCAGGACAAAGAAATGGGAGGGGGGGAGGGAAAAAAGTGAGGATGGGGAGAATGGGATAGGAAAGAGACGATTGGGGGGTAATTAGGTTTGGTCTGAGGAAGATCAAAAGGTTCATTTCCTCAGACCAAGAGCCTCTTTACCACAAGGAGCCCCCATTAAAGAGGATGAAATACAACATTATGAATAAAATTAAACAGGGAAGGCAACTGCGCATGGAAAACTGACTCATGACATTTCACCCAGTGGTTTTTTAACCACCCACATTATAGCTTTATCAACCATAATAGGACTCATCCATAGTTTGACCTTGCCATGTACTTGACGAAGCTCACTGTGGGTAAAATGTCCTTCAATAAATGTTTCCCCTGCTAAAAATGTCTTTTGAAATTACCAGTAATAAAGGACTCAGGAGGAAACTGCCGGGTACTCTTAGAACTGATTCTCAAATTATGGCAGCAACCTTGCCATGGAGCTTGTGTTGCTTTGATGAGCCAGCCGACAATATTGGTAGGAGCCTAACTATTTTGACTGCCGGTGTGAAGGCTGACAATTAGTTGCCAAACAAGCTACTTGAGGGGTCTACCTGTATTTCATGGTTAGATGTTGGTGGCAAGAGGCGTTGGAGTTTGCCTCGGCATAGACGTGTATTCGATGAGAGGGCTCTCTAGTTTGCTTTGGTTCTCAGCCCTTGTCAACCTATGCTTGGTTCCGTTCCATAGCAGGTGATGCCCCTAGATTTCAAGATCAAGTGCTCTTACATTAACTTTGTGTGAAAACTTCAGTTTCATGAGACTGGCAACAGAATATTAAACTGCCCAAATTGCCATTACCTGAAAGCTCAGTTCGAACTTCGAGATGAGTCCTTTGGTGGTACAGTGCTACACAGATCTGACCCCTCTCCTGCCACCTCTATGTAGAACAGAACTAAGGCACATTTTGTGCTTCTCCAGTTAATAATCGTAAGAACATCTGGCCTGAGGTGATTAACAGTAACTCTTCTTACTCTGACATTGACTGAAGCAACAATCTAGTAGAAACATATACGTAATATAGATCAAACCTTTATTTCAGACGACGTTTCGCACAAAATTGTTGTTGAAGATTTGATAAAATTTAATCCTGACCATTGTCTAAAATAAAAACTCGCTCTTCATTATGCCTACATTCTTGATGCGACATACTTCATGTACACAGATCCATTAATTCACTTTGCAATCGAGACGCCAAAAGTCTATCTAATTAGATGGTGGCTTCCTCATGGAAGACTGCTGCTGCCTAGGTAGTAGTGGTAGTGGTGGTAGTAGTGGTATAGTGGTGGGAGTGGTGGTAGTGGTGGTGGTAGTGGTGGTGGTAGTGGTGCTGGTGGTAGTGGTATAGTGGTGGTAGTAGTAGTGGTGGTAGTAATAGTGGTGGTGGTGGTGGTGGTAGTAGTGGTAGAAGTAGTGGTGGTAGTGGTAGTAGTAGTAGTGGTGGTAGTAGTAGTGGTAGTAGTAGCAGTGGTAGTAATAGCGGTGGTAGTAATAGTGTTGGTAGTAGTAGTGGTGGTGGTAGTAGTGTTGGTAGTGGTAGTGGTGTGTAGTAGTAGTGGTGGTAGTAGTAGTGGTGGTGGTGGTCGTGGTGGTGGTGGTAGTAGTGGTAGTAGCAGTGGTAGTAATAGCGTGTGGTAGTAGTGGTAGTAGTAGTAGTGGTGGTAGTAGTAGTGGTAGTAGTAGCAGTGGTAGTAATAGCTGTGTGTAGTGGTAGTAGTAGTAATGGTGGTAGTAGTGGTGGTAGTAGTAATGGTGGTAGTAGTGGTGGTAGTAGTAGTGGTGGTAGTAGTAGTGGTGGTATGTAGTGGTGGTAGTAGTAGTAATAGTGGTGGTAGTAGTAGTAGTGGTAGTAGTAGTGGTGGTTAGTGGTGGTAGTAGTGGTGGTGGTGGTAATGGTGGTGGTGGTGGTGGTAGTAGTGGTGGTGGTGGTGGTAGTAGTGGTGGTGGTGGTGGTAGTGGTAGTAGTGGTATGTGGTAGTAGTGGTAGTGGTGATAGTGGTAGTAGCGGTAGTAGTAGTAGTGGTAGTAGTAGTGGTGGTGGTGGTGGTAGTAGTAGTAGTAGTAGTGGTGGTAGTGGTAGTGGTGGTCGTGGTAGTGGTGGTAGTAGTGGCAGTAGTGGTGGTAGTAGTAGTAGTGGTGGTGGTGGTGGTGGTAGTAGTAGTGGTGGTGGTGGTAGTAGTGGTGGTAGTAGTAGTAGTGGTGGTGGTGGTAGTGGTAGTAGTGATTGTAGCAGTGGTAGTGGTGTAGTAGTAGCAGTGGTGGTAGTAGTAGTAGTAGTGGTAGTAGTAGTAGTGTGTAGTAGTAGTGGTGGTAGTAGTAGTGGTAGTAATAGTGGTGGTAGTAGTAGTAGTGGTAGTAATAGTGGTGGTAGTGGTAGTAGTAGTAGTAGTATAGTGGTGGTGGTGGTAGTAGTGGTAGTGGTAGTAGTGGTAGTAGTAGTGGTGGTAGTAGTGGTAAGTAGTGGTGGTCGTAGTGGTAGTGGTGGTAGTGGTAGTATGTGGTATGGTGGTAGTAGTGGTGGTAGTGGTATGTGGTAGTAGTAGTAGTGGTGGTGGTAGTCATAGTGGTAGTGGTTGGTAGTGGTAGTATTGGTGGTGGTAGTGGTGGTGGTGTGTGTGTAGTAGTAGTGGTGGTAGTGGTGGAGTGTGGTTGTGGTAGTGTTGGTAATGTGGTGGTAGTGGTGTAGTGTATGTGGTAGTAGTGGTAGTAGTGTAGTGGTAGTGGTGTGGTAGTAGGTAGTGGTGTAGTGTAGTGGGTAGTGGTTAGTGGTAAGTGGTGTAGTAGGTAGTGGTGGTAGTAGTTGGTAGTAGTGAGTGTGGTAGTAGTGGTAAGTGGTGGTAGTGGTATGGGTAGTAGTGTGTAGTGTAGTAGGGTGTAGTAGTGGTGTAGTGGTAGTATGAGTGGTGAGTGGAGTAGTGGTAGTAGGTAGTAGTGGTGTAGTGGTAGTTGGTAGTAGTGGTAGTAGTAGTGGTAGTGGTGTAGTGTGTAGTGGTAGTAGTAGTAGTGTTAGTAGTGGTAGTATGGGGTAGTAGTAGTGGTGGTAGTGGTAGTAGGTAGTAGTGGTGGTAGTGGTAGTAGTGGTGTAGTGTAGTGGTAGTAGGTGGTATAAGTGGTAGTAGTGGTATAGTAGTGGTAGTAGTGGTATAGTGGTGGTGTGGAAAGTGGTAGTAGTGGTAGTGTAGTGGTAGTAGTGGTGTAGTGGTAGTAGTGGTGAGTGGTAGTAGTGTTGGTAGTATGTGGTAGTGGTGTGGTAGTAGTGGTAGTAGTGGTGTGGTATAGTGGTAGTGTAGTAGTGTGGTAGTGGTAGTATGTAGTAGTGTAGTAGTGGTTAGTAGTAGGTAGTAGTGGTGGTAGTGGTAGTGTAGTAGTAGGTGTACGTAGTGGTAGTGGTGGTAGTAGTAGTGGTATTATTGGTTAGTGGTGGTATAGTAGTATGGTAGTATAGGTGGTAGTGTAGTGTAGTAGTGGTGAGTTTAGTAGGTAGTAGTGGTAGTAGTGGTTAGTAGTGTAGTAGTGTATGGTGAGGTGGTAGTGTGGTAGTAGTGGTAGTATAGTGTAGTAGTGTGTAGTAGTGGTAGTTAGTAGTGGTTAGTATTGGGTAGTTTTTATAGGTTAGTTGAGTAGTGGTAGTAGTGGTATAGTATAGTGGTAGTATGGTATGTAGTAGTGGTAGTAGTGGTGTATAGTGGTAAGTAGGTATACTATATTTACATCATTATAATTTACTCTAATAGCACTTTATTAAATGTGTTTCCGACATGACTCATTGTTATTTTTCACATTTTTTTCACAATCATACTTGTAAGATATGTGTATGTATCTAAACTTCGTACACGAATCAGCTTATACCGGTCCACTGAACCACATTTACCGGGGTCCACGAACCACATTTTACCGGGTCCTACTGAACCACAGTTTACCGGGGTCCTACTGAACCACAGTTTACCGGGGTCCTACTGAACCACAGTTTACCGGGGTCCTACTGAACCACAGTTTACCGGGGTCCTACTGAACCACAGTTGCCCAAAAAAACACAGTTTGGGCAACCAAATATGTGGCTGGACTTGATAAACCTCCACAGCATAAGACGAATGAGGACTGGTATGGTAATACTGATAGAATGTGGAGAGTCACTGATCTACAGTTCAAGACAGTTATTAAAGGAAACGTTTCGCCACGAGTGGCTTCTTTAGTGACGAAACGTTACCTTTAATAAATGACCTGAACTGTACATGTGTGTCTTTTTCCACACGATGGAAAAATACACAGAACTGCAAGTCCGTCTCAAACACAACCTTCCCAATATTCTCCACCAGACTCCATCATATATATACTCGTGTACTACTCAGGTAGATATGTTTGATTTGATAAAGTCCACTGTGTGGGCGAAACGTAGTCAATAAAGTATCTCATTTTACTGCATTTATGTTTATTTTTCCAACACTGCCCATACTAGGCAGGTCCTTTTCTAAACTAACCATTTCCACACAACAACTTTTCCAACTTTTTACCAAAGCCACAAAAAAGGTTATACCGATATGAAATATTCAAAACAAAAGCTAATACACATAGTGTTTATATTTAATGTGTATAAAAGAATAATGTTTATTTAATTTGATAATATATTAAGAAATCTTTGTATTCCAGGAGGGAAAGAATGAACCAGCGGTGGAAGAGGAGATTGTCAACCGTGCTGAGTCTAGTGTGTGTCTTCTGGTGTGTTGACAATCTTCTGAAGACTGGTGGGTACCCCTGTGTCTTCCTCAGCCCCCCGTGTCTTCCTCAGGCCCCCGTGTCTTCCTCAGGCCCCCGTGTCTTCCTCAGGCCCCCGTGTCTTCCTCAGCCCCCCGTGTCTTCCTCAGGCCCCCGTGTCTTCCTCAGCCCCCGTGTCTTCCTCAGCCCCCGTGTCTTCCTCAGGCCCCCGTGTCTTCCTCAGGCCCCCCGTTGTCTTCATCAGCCCCCGTGTCTGTCTTCCTCAGCCCCTCGTGTCTTTCACCCCTCCGTGTCTATCACCCCCGTGTCTTCCTCAGCCCCCCGTGTCTTTCACTCCTCCGTTTCTATCACCCCCCGTGTCTTCCTCAGTCCCCCGTGTCTATCACCCCCGTGTCTTCCTCAGCCCCCGTGTCTTCCTAAGTCCCCCGTGTCTATCACGCCCCGTGTCTTCCTCAGTCCCCCGTGTCTTCCTCAGTTCCCCGTGTCTATCACGCCCCGTGTCTTCCTCAGCTGAGTGCTGGCACGGACTTTAGTGACCAGTACAACACTGCTCACACTCTCACTCAGACTCGTGGGAACTTTTAAGATCTTTCAAAATATTTATCAGTGATGACAGATAAAACAAGTTAGTAATGTGTAACAGTGAGCGGGTTCTTAATCCAAGGAACTGGACCTATCCTCCACTTCCATTCAACTTATTTCCTATTTTTCAGGCGCAGTTTGGCCCTTACGGGTTCAGTGCTTCCTCCTTATTATGAAAATAATCGAGTTTCGCGTAGCTCGATTGCTAGCGCACTCAGCTTACACATTTAGGTCCTTGGTTCGATCCCCGATACGGGTGGAAACATTTGGACATGTTTCCTTAAGACACTTGCTGCCCCTGCTAACCTAGCAGTAGATAGGTACCTGGGTGTTAGCCGACTGGCGTGGGTTGCATCCTGGGGAACGATCGTTCCAGACCTCAAGACATAGTCAATACCAAATTCACTATATTAGACCATAGTTCAATTACTAGTGAGAGACTGGTGCTATTTTTAATTTGTACTTTTATATTATTAGATTAAACCTATTGTACTTTAGCTCACTCTAGCTCAAAACAGACTCCACAAAAGTCATTATTAGACCTTAGTGCAATTACAAGTGAGAGTCTTGTTCTATTTTTAATTTGTATTTTTTATATTACTAGTTTATACCTAGTTGTACTTTAGTTCATTCCAGCACAACACATAGACAACATCAACTTCATTATGTGTAGTAGTGACTATACCCTACATGACCAAAAACTCTAGCTACATACTTGTCCAAACTTCCACCACTACAGATATCAGTACTAGAACTCAACACACAACTCAGGATATAAATAATCATAATTTAAACCTAGAAGATGATTGATCACGTTGACCCTGATCTAAACCTCCATAATCTGACACCCAATCAAAACCTATTGGAAAGTAACTGCCTTTATTACACAGCATCACAAGCCACCACTATCCTAAACAATGCTAAAAGTCTATCAGTACTTAACTACAACATCAGGTCCTTAAGCAAACACTATGATGACCTCCTAGCACTCCTTGAATCACTAAAGACACCCTTCTCCTGCATTATTCTTACTGAGACCTGGCTTAAGCAGGACACAATAGATATCTACCCTCTACCAGGATTCACAGCAATTCACAACTGCAGAACAAACCAAGTTGGGGGTGGTATTGCAATCTATTACTCTAACCAATTATCTTGTCTTAGCACCACTTGCTTTAGTGATGAATATGGGGAATACATTTTTGCTAATTTTACTGTAAAAAACCTTAAGACGCCTATAACAATCGGTGCCATTTACCGGATACCTCACACAAACATCCCAAATTTCAGTGAGAAATTAAAGTCACTAATAACAAACAGACAAATGAATAAGCACCACCTTCTCTTAGCTGGAGACTTCAACATCAACCTTGGCTTACTAGATGATCAGCCTGTAACTGATTTCATCAACAATATGAACAACACACTTCCATACCAACAATAACTAAACCAACCAGGCTCACTGAGACAAGTGCAACCATAATAGACCACATATGGACCAATATACTAGCCCCCCTTAAATCAGGGATAATCACAGATAGCACTACAGACCACTACCCAACCTTCCTCCTGACAAACATTAGTAAACCACCACTTGAATACAACAAAGTCTCATTTAGACTCCATGACGAGGCCTCAGTAAGGAAGTTCACAGCTGACCTAGAGACTGTTGATTGGCCTACAGAATTCTCCAAGGCCAATGGTATTGATGACTGGACAGACATTTTTCTTAACAAATTACTTAGACTATACAACAAACATTGTCCTATAAAAACAAAACAGATCACAAACAAACGGCTTGGTTGCCCATGGCTAACCAGCACCATTCTGAAATCCATTGACAAGAAACACCAATATGAAAAACAATATAGACAGGGCTTAATACACAAAGATACTCTTAAACACTATTCATCAGCTCTCACCAAAGTGATAAAAAAAGCCAAACAACTATACTACTCCAGTAGATTCACAGACACTAGAGGAGATATAAAAAAGACCTGGAAAACACTCTCTCAGATTCTAGGGACCCACAAACTGAGAAAAACCAAGAATATTGTCCTAACTAAACCTAATGAAACACCACTACATCCCACTGACACAGCTAACAAGATAAACGACTTCTTCTCAAACATAGGATCTAATCTCGCCAGTAAAATCCCACATACCAATGCCCATGCCGGGGACTACCTAGATGGAAATTTCCCTAATTCCTTCTATCTTGCACCAACTGAGCCCACGGAAGTCATTGAGATCATAAAGTCACTTAAAAATAACTCGGGGAATCTGTCTCATGTCCACCATTACTGTACAAGCGAGCGGCCCATGTCCTTTCGCATGCTATTTCATTACTTTTTAACAAGTCAATAGAGACTAGCACCTTCCCGAAACTACTCAAGATGGCAAGGGTTACACCAATACATAAAGGTGGTGACCCTACAGACTTAAACAACTATAGGCCAATATCTAACTTACCATTGCTATCCAAAATCTTTGAGAAACTCGTGCACAGGAGACTGTATTCATTTATAACGGCTCAAAACATACTCAACCCCTGCCAATTTGGATTCAGGAAAAATAAAAGCACTAATGATGCAATCATAAAAATGCTAGATCTGCTTTACACAGCATTGGAAAATAAGGAATATCCACTAGGAATTTTTATTGACCTAAGAAAAGCTTTTGACACAGTAGACCACGACATCCTACTCCACAAACTTGATCACTACGGTATAAGAGGCCATGCGCTTGCTTATTTCAAATCTTACATTACTAATAGGTATCAGTACGTCACCATTAAAGACACAGCATCAGCAACACGGCCACTTGATACTGGAGTTCCGCAGGGAAGTGTCCTTGGTCCCCTGCTCTTCCTCATATACATCAATGACCTTCCAAACGTATCCCAACACCTGAAACCCATTCTCTTTGCTGATGACACGACTTATGTCATCTCTCACCCTAATCTTGCCACCCTCAACACCATTGTGAATGAGGAGCTGATTAAAATATCGACTTGGATGACAGCCAATAAACTTACGCTTAACACTGACAAAACCTACTATATTATGTTTGGTAGCAGAGCAGGAGATGCACAAATTAACATTAAGATTGACAACACTCTAATTACCAGAAATATTGGGGGAAAATTCCTAGGCTTATACCTTGACAACCTGAATTTCAGCACCCATATCCAGCATATAGCCAAAAAAGTATCCAAAACGGTTGGGATCCTCTCCAAGATACGATACTACGTGCCGCAAAATGCCCTTCTCACACTATACCACTCACTTATTTATCCATACCTCACCTATGCTATTTGTGCTTGGGGATCAACTGCAGCAACACACCTAAAGCCAATAATAACCCCAAAAAAAAGCTGCAGTAAGAATAATCACTAAATCCCATCCCTGGCAACACACCCCCCCACTCTTCATAGATCTAAACTTACTCCCAGTTTTGTACATCCACACTTACTACTGTGCAATCTACATCTACAGGGCCTTAAACTCTAATATCAACCTTGACCTAAAACGCTTTCTTGATAGTTGTGACAGAACCCACAGGCATAACACCAGACACAAACATCTCTACGACATTCCCCGTGTCCGACTAAACCTTTACAAAAATTCAATGTATGTCAAAGGCCCTAAAATCTGGAATACCCTACCTGAGAACTCTAGAACTGCAGACACATTCATCACCTTCAAAACTACCATTAGAAAACATCTTATCTCCCTGATACACCCCGTCAACTAACTACACGAATACCACCTGGTGGTTCACACTTACACTCACTCACTCATTTGAGCATAAACAGAAATATTAATCTCAGTCTTAAAATAATGAATCCTGTGATACTCCAATACTGAAACTATGTACTGTGCCAAAACAAAAGCATTCACATTACTAAACTCACAAACTAGTATTTAGTCACTTAGCCATAATACCAACTTACCTCATAATTTGTAATATTTTACAATTAAGAATAAAACTAAGTATGCCCGAAATGCCTAGCCATGCTAAGCGTTCTAGTGGTACACTCTGTAATCACAATTTTACTACATGTAAACCAAACAATAACCAAATTTCTGTAAACTCAGCATTGTAATCCTTATAGAGAATAAACTTTGAATTGAATGGAGCTGAACTTTTCTCCAGGCTGAGGGACTGACCATCTCAAATACTTTCTCTCTCATTACTACTGCTGCCTTTGTATTTGACCGAAGAAGCCTATTATGTAGGCGAAACGTTTCATCATTAAAGATACCCAATTGCTGCACGTGTGTCTTAATCTTCAAGTGAATCTTATTCAGATGAGGTCAGGTAGACAATGAAGTCACGTGATCCCTGTTGTTAGGCAGGGTGGTCTTTACCTGCTTCACTATCATTAATGTCAGTTTTTTTTTTTTTAAATTTTGTAGTTTCCAGAACTATGCTCACGGTGTCGGTGACAGCGATTAGCGAGGCTTTTAGACATCGTTGGCGCCAAAAATTTTGTTCAGTGAGGATGAGGTGTGCATCATTCTAATTCATCAAATGTTCGGTGGAGTTCCTGTGGAGGACACAGGCGTACTTTATCAAGTCGTCCCTGATGCAGGCGTTTCGATATTCATTTAGAAGGACCGAAAGCTTTCTGCCTGTTTCCCTACATATTTCCTAGGACAGTGTCCACCGGGGACGGTGTAGACGCCTGGTGTGCAAGTTAGAGGTGTGGGACTCCCAGTACCTAACTGTTGGTCTTAACAAATGCTGTGTCCTCTGTCCAACTTAATAAAGTCGTCACTGAGAACATTTTTAATAAAGGCTTGTTCTGTCTAATTTGCGAATGAGAGAGTAGCTCCAGCTCCTTTAACCAAAGCCCTTCACACGCATTAAGCAACCCAGTTCTGAAATTATACGAGTTAAAATAGTAAGGGTTATACAGCACCCGAGATATAGCAGAAAAGTAGACCTGATCCCACGAAATGAAGACCATCTTCATTTTTTTTTTACACCAGGAAACCTTTCCTAGCACCACAGCGCCCGGCTGAAGGAACCTCCTTGAAAAGTTTTGTTAAAGGTAGTTTTTATGTCAGCATCATGAGGAAACTGAATTATGCTTATGATAAAAAGCATAAATTAAGACCTCTTGACATAGAGCAACAACATTTGTTTACAGTTTGGTCTAACAACCACGTTTTTTTTTCAGATAACGGCCTTCGTTCTGCAACACCTGGTGACACTAGTGATAATTACAAGAGGGTACTGATGAGTTCTCTTGATATCAGTGATAAGCTAACAGAAAATATAGCTTCTCTGCCATCCGAGGTCGTTAGAAAAAATACAAACCACTGTCATCTACTGAATAATCGTCACCAAGAAGATTTTATTTCAAATCAGAATGTATCTAAGGATAGCTATGAACTCCTCAACGCTCCCGCAGCTGCCGACAACGAGACCTACAAGAGCGTGGAAAATCGTCACCGTTACAATCTCTCCATTCTTATTATGGCCTCGGTGGGTCGAAGCGGCTCTACATTTCTCGGTGAACTTTTAGCTTCACAAGGGAACAACATGTATATGTTTGAGCCAATCAGGTCGCTACAAAAGCCGTACCTAAAGGCAAGTGTCGTGGCGGTACTGCTCAATCTTTTTCACTGCAATATAAAGCAAAATTTTCTTGAATTGGGCAAAGTACCCTATACAAATATCAAACATCATTACATCAAAGACAAGTCAAAGGAGCAAATTGTGCTGCACGCTGTAAACGAACACTGCAAGATGGAACCAATACGCATTATTAAGACGATTCGCACTCGACTTCAGTGGACCAAGCAACTTCTAGAAGACAAAGATCTTAATCTGAAAGTGATCCACTTAGTACGTGATCCACGAGGATCATTCGTCTCCACGTTAAATTTAGAATGGAATTTGACGACCAGTAATGTGTGTCACAAGATTCTGCAGGTGAGGTCTTAGTACCACTAACATCAACCACAGTGTATGTGCAATACATCTTTTAGATAACACTATAACACATGTAAAACACCTTTTATACACACACACACACACACACACACACACACACACACACACACACACACACACACACACATCGAAGACCAGGCAGAACTACAAAGGGATCTGGACAGGCTGCAGACCTGGTCCAGCAACTGGCTCCTGGAGTTCAATCCCACCAAGTGCAAAGTCATGAGGATTGGGGAAGGGCAAAGAAGACCGCAGACGAAGTACAGTCTAGGGGGCCAGAGACTACAAACATCACTCAAGGAAAAAGATCTTGGGGTGAGTATAACACCAGGCACATCTCCTGAAGCGCACATCAACCAAATAACTGCCGCAGCATATGGGCGCCTGGCAAACCTCAGAACAGCATTCCGACATCTTAATAAGGAATCGTTCAGGACCCTGTACACCGTGTACGTTAGGCCCATATTAGAGTATGCGGCACCAGTTTGGAACCCACACCTAGCCAAGCATGTAAAGAAACTAGAGAAAGTGCAAAGGTTTGCAACAAGACTAGTCCCAGAGTTAAGAGGTATGTCCTATGAGGAGAGGTTAAGGGAAATCAACCTGACGACACTGGAGGACAGGAGAGATAGGGGGGACATGATAACGACTTACAAAATACTGAGAGGAATTGACAAGGTGGACAAAGACAGGATGTTCCAGAGACTGGACACAGTAACACGGGGACACAGTTGGAAGCTGAAGACACAGATGAATCAAAGGGATGTTAGGAAGTATTTCTTCAGCCACAGAGTAGTCAGGAAGTGGAATAGTTTGGGAAGCGATGTAGTGGAGGCAGGATCCATACATAGCTTTAAGCAGAGGTACGATAAAGCTCATGGTTCAGGGAGAGTGACCTAGTAGCGACCAGTGAAGAGGCGGGGCCAGGAGCTTGGACTCGACCCCTGCAACCTCAACTAGGTGAGTACAACTAGGTGAGTAAAAAAACACACACCCCACACACAAACACCACACACAGCACCCACACATGCGCGCGCGCACACACGCACACAAACGCACACACACGCGCACACACACACACGCGCACACACGCGCACACACGCGCACAAACGCGCGCGCGCACACACACACACGCACGCACACGCACAGACACACACGCACGCACACAGACACACACACACACTCGTGGAGGAGTCACGCTGTTTGAGCTCGTGTTTTGGTGGTAATTTCTGACTGTACCATAAGGAATATGAGTGTGGGATATAGGCGTGTGCACGCATAAGAGTGAATATAATCACTTAAGCCCCGAAAAAAGGAAATATAAGTGATCACAGAAAAGCAATTTAGTAAATAGTGACAGTTACTATGTGGGGGCCGTTGGAAGGAAAGTGAACGGTTGTGTCAGCCCTAAATAGTGTTGCCATAATAACGCAGTGGGGTATTTGAAGAATAAGTGCGAATCAAGATCAGGGAGATAAGAGATATGTATAGATGTGTCAGTAAATACAGTGAGTGAAAAAAAAATAGATGAGCTAGAGACCACAGTGCCTACAGGAAGTTAGTGGAAAAATTACCGAGAAGCATCAAGCATTTTCAAACTGGGACCCAGGAGGATGACAACATTACTCCACTGCCAGCTGCAATTAATATTCACCTAGTTTGAGTTGCATGGGGTCAGCACCAGTCTCTAGCTAGAAATTGTGGGTCACTCTCCTCAAGCTATCAGAATTAGAATAAGCAGCATTTACTGGCATTTAATAGAATTTATTGAGGTTTAGGAGAGTTAAGCAGTTAATGATAGATAGCCTAGTATGAGAGGTAGCCTAGCGAAGCCTAGCATACAGAATTGAATGTAATTTTAGGCACAAGATAGTACAGTGGGAACCAAGAGATTGGGTACATATGCAAAACATATGTAGTACATACGAGGGAAATAAGGACTGCTTACATAAACACACGCATACACACACACAACACACACACACACACACACACACACACACACACACACACACACACACACACACACACATACAAGATTTCACACCTTTATGTGAATTTACGTAATTTTAGGCACACAAGACAGTACAGTGGAAACCAAGAGATAGGGTACATATGCAAAACATATGAGGGAAATAAGGACTGCTTACATAAATGCACGCATACACACACACATACACGCACACTAGGTGAGAACAGGATCTGCTGTTAGGCACTTGAATAGCTGTAGTGCACACACACACACACACACACACACACACACACACACACATACAGGATTTCACACCTTTATGTGAATTGACCCTCTAACCCTTCCTTCTCTCTCCATCTCTTTGTCTCTTTTCCTCTCTTCCTCTCTAGTCTTCTCTCTCTCTATTCTTCTCTTCTTCTCTCTCTCTTAATCTTTCTCTCCCTTCCCCTCTCTCTATTCCTCTCTCTCCTCTTTCCTCTCTCTTCCTCTCTCTTTTTTCTTTTCCTCTCTCTCTCTTCCTCTCTCTCTCTCTCTTCCTCTCTCTCTTCCTCTTTTTCTCTCTTCCTCTCTCTCTCTCTCTCTCTCTTTTCCCTTCTCTCTCTCCCCTCTCTCCTATCTTTCCCTCCTCTCCTCTCTTTCTCTCACTCTCTCCCCCTTTTCCTTTTCACTCTCCCCCTCTCCTTCTACCTTTCCCCTCTCTCTCTCTTTCTCTTCTCTCTCTCTCTCTTTCCTTTACTAAAAAAAAATGGTTGGGACTCGTAGGAATCAGGGATCAGATGACAATGGTATTGGTAGGGAGGAATGGATGGAGGAGCAGTGGAGAAGGATTGAGCAAGAATGGGAGAGAAAATTAGGAGAGCTTTCTGAAAAAATGGAGAAAGAGCTCTCTGCGAAATGGGAAAAGAGGTTGGAGGAGGAGATGAAGAAATGGGAGGCACAAGTCAAAACTGCAGTAGACAGGGTAAGGGTCCTAGAGTTTGAGGTAAACAGGCTGAAGCAAGTCTCATGGGCAGTGACCAGAGAAGACACAGCATATGAAACTGAGAGGATGAACAGGAAGGAAGGAGATATGAATTATGCTAAGGTCATATCAGCCTGCAAAGAAGGGTCAGGGAGTAAAAGGAAAGAGCAGCTGGGTGCAGATAGAGAGGGAGATAAGTCGAATGCTGAGGCACAACCATGCTACCAAGAGCCACTGGAAAAATCAAGGGAGAAAATGACCATATACAGACAGGAACCAGAGTCACAGAGGGAGAGGCAATGGGAGGAGGAAAGGGCAAAATCAGTGTTTATCCATGGGCTTCGGGAGAGAGAGGAAAAGACACACTGAAAGACGGCAGGAAGAAAGAAAGGAGATTGGGAAAATCATCACGGAAATAGGGGGAGAAGACATGGACGAGATTGTAAATTTTCAGAAAATAGGGGGGTACGTGAAGGGGAGAAACCGACTGATCAAGCTGATTCTCAGGACAAACAGTGAGGAACAGGATCCTCCAAGAGAAACCAAGGTTGAAAAACTCGGAAGAGTACAAGAAGGTGTTCCTAGACAGAGACAGAACACAAACAGAGACACAGCAGCTGAGGGAGAGGACAAAAAAGCGAAAGGAGATAGGAAAGGAAACAAGGATGGAACCAGCAGAGGTCAGTCAGAGCAGAACAGAGAAGCAAGGGCAAACCACACACAACTATCCTCAGAACCCCACAACCTATCACACCATCCCAACACAAACTACAATCCATACCCACAGCTTCCACCCAACCCCCCAATCATAGAATCCCACAGTATGCTACCAGGTCTTCCACCCCTACAGGCCCCCAAACCACAGTATTGGAAAGGAAACTGAAGGTATGGTACACAAACGCTGATGGAATAACAAACAAGTGGGAGGAGTGGCACGAAAGAGCCAAAGAGACATCACCGGACATCATAGCGCTCACAGAAACCTAGCTTACAGGTATGATAACAGATGCCATCTTTCCAACGGGATACCAGATCCTGAGGAAAGACAGAAGGAACAGGGGGGGTGGAGTGGCACTGCTGATCAAACACCGATGGAATTTTGATGAGCTGGAGAGAGGAGACAGCGGAGAAGAAAGTGATTACATAGCGGGAACGCTTCACTCTGGAGGTCCCAAGGTGGTAATTGCAGTGATGTATAACCCACCACAGAACAGCAGGAGACCAGGGCATGAGTATGACGAGAGCAATAGAGCGATGGTTGACACACTGGCTGCAGTGGCCAGAAGAGCTCATGCATGCAGGGCAAGCTCCTGATCATGGGCGACTTTAACCACAAGGAGATCCACTGGGAGAACTTGGAGCCACATGGGGCCCAAAATACATGGAGGGCTAAGATGATGGAGGGGGTAATGGAAAACTTCATGTACCCAAAACGTAAGGGACACTACAATGAGAGAGAGGAGAGGATGAGCCAGCAAGACGGACTTAGTATTCACCTTGAGCAGTGCAGATATTGAGGACTCACATATGAAAGACCCCTTGGGGCCAGGGATCATGTGGTTTTGAGCTTCGAATACACAGTAGAGCTACAAGTGGGGGGGGAAGCAGGAAGGCCAGGACAAATGAAACCAAAAAATACAGGAAAGGGGACTACACGGGAATGAGGAACTTCCTGAACGAGGTTCAGTGGGAAAAGAACTGGCAGGGAAGCCAGTTAATGAGATGATGGAATATGTAGCAACAATGTGCAAGGAGGCTGAAGAGAGGTTTGTACCAAGGGAAACAGAATAATGAAAAGGGCCCGGATGAGCCCATGGTTCAAACCCAAAAGGTGCAAGGAGGCAAAAACCAAGTGTGCTAGGGAATGGAAGAAATATAGAAAGGGAAAGGACCCAGGGGGAATAAGGAGAGCAGTCGTAGAGCCAGAAACAAATATGCACAGATAAGAAGGGAGGCCCAACGACAATATGAAAACGACATAGCAGCGAAAACCAAATCTGACCCGAAGCTGTTATACCCGCCCCATCAGGAGAAAACAAGTCAAGGACCAGGTTAAACAGGTTAATGAAGGAAGGAGGAGAGACAACAAGAAATGACCGTGAAGTATGTGGGGGAACTCAACAAAGATTCAAAGAAGTGTTCACAGAGGAGACAGAAGGGCTCCAGAGGGGCGGAGAGGTGTGGCCATCACCAGGTGCTGGACACGGTACACACAACCAAAGAAGAAGGAAGAGGCTTCCGAGTGAGCTAGTTTACCTCAAAGGCAATGGGGCCAGATAACATCTCTCCAGGGGCCCTGAGAGAGGGAGCAGAGGCGCTATGTGTACCCCTAACAACAATTTTTCAATACATCTATCGAAACAGGGAGATTGCCTGAGGCATGGAAGACAGCAAATGTAGTCCCAATCTTTAAAAAAGGAGACAGACTGAAGCACTAAAACACAGACCAGTGTCACTACATGTATAGTATGCAAAGTCATGGAGAAGATTGTCAGGAGAAGAGTGGTGGAACACTAAAAAGGGAATGATCTCATCAACAGCACCCAACATGGTTTCAGGGACGGAAAATCCTGTGTCACAAACCTACTGGAGTTCTATGACAAGGTTACAGCAGAAAAGCCCAAGAGAGAGAGGGGTGGGGTGAATTGCATTTTCTTGGACTGCAAGAAGGCGTTTGACAAAGTACCACAAAAAGGATTAGTGCAAAAACTGGAGGACCAAGCGGGGATAACAGGGAAGGCATACAATGGATCAGGGAAATTTGTCAGGAAGACAGCAGCGAGTAATGGTACGTGGCGAGGGGGTCAGAGTGGGCACCTGTGACCAGCGGGGTCCCACAGGGGCCAGTCCTAGGACCAGTGCTGTTTCTGGTATTTGTGAATGAAATGACGGGAAAGGGAAAAAACTCTGAGGTGTCACTGTTTGCGATGACGTGAAGTTGATGAAAGAATTCATTCGATCGAAGACCAGACAGAACTACAAAGGATCTGGACAGGCTGCAGACCTGGTCCAGCAATTGGCTCCTGGAGTTCAATCCCACCAAGTGCAAAGTCATGAAGATTGAGGAAGGGCAAAGAAGACCGCAGACGGAGTACAGTCTAGGGGGCCAGAGACTACAAATCTCACTCAAGGAAAAAAATCTTGGGGTGAGTATAACACCAGGCACATCTCCTGAAGCGCACATCAACCAAATAACTGCTGCAGCATGTGGGCGCCTGGCAAATCTCAGAACAGCATTCCAACATCTTAATAAGGAGTCGTTCAGGACTCTGTACACCGTGTATGTTAGGCCCATATTGGAGTATGGGGCACCAGTTTGGAACCCACACCTAGCCAAGCATGTAAAGAAACTAGAGAAAGTGCAAAGGTTTGCCACAAGACTAGTCCCAGAGCTAAGAGGTATATCCTACGAGGATAGGTTAAGGGAAATCAACCTGACGACACTGGAGGACAGGAGAGATAGGGGGGACATGATAACGACTTACAAAATACTGAGATGAATTGACAAGGTGGACAAAGACAGGATGTTCCAGAGACTGGACACAGCAACAAGGGGACACAGTTGGAAGCTGAAGACACAGATGAATCACAGGGATGTTAGGAAGTATTTCTTCAGCCACAGAGTAGTCAGGAAGTGGAATAATTTGGGAAGCGATGTAGTGGAGGCAGGATCCATACATAGCTTTAAGCAGAGGTATGATAAAGCTCAAGGTTCAGGGAGAGTGACTAGTAGCGACCAGTGAAGAGGCGGGGCCAGGAGCTTGGACTCAACCCCTGCAACCTCAACTAGGTGAGCACGCACACACACACACACACACACACACAACACGCACAGCAAATATTTTACGTTGATTTTGCTATGATATATTTTCATCTTATAAGTAATTTAGAGCCTATGGTATGCGATGTATATTTCTCTGATGCATATTGTGCTATGATGCAATACATGGTAATCGTCAGGTAGTTTAGGATCACATATTCAGAACATGGAGACAGACCGGACAAAAGCATCAATATTTTTTTTCTTGCGATATATATATATATATATATGTCGAAGCTGAGGGACTGATCACCCTGTATCTACCTTCTCCACTGTGTTTGTTGTCTCCTCTGTAATTCGACTGAATCAAATACAAGAAATAGTATTGATTTTGGCATCATGACTAACTTATGTTATTTAACTGCCACCAATCATGGACAGCAACTGACAGCAGCTACCCGTGTGTATTACACGGTGCCCGTGTAATACACATGGTGCCAGTGTAATGCACATGGTGCCAGTGTAATGCACATGGTGCCAGTGTAATGCACATGGTGCCAGTGTAATACACATGGTGCCAGTGTAATACACATGGTGCCAGTGTAATACACATGGTGCCAGTGTAATACACATGGTGCCAGTGTAATACACATGGTGCCAGTGTAATACACATGGTGCCAGTGTAATACACATGGTGCCAGTGTAATACACATGGTGCCAGTGTAATACACATGGTGCCAGTGTAATGCACATGGTGCCAGTGTAATACACACGGCGCCCGTGTAATACACATGGTGCCAGTGTAATGCACACGGTGCCAGTGTAATACACACGGCGCCCGTGTAATACACATGGTGCCAGTGTAATGCACACGGTGCCAGTGTAATACACACGGCGTTCCGGTTAATACACATGGTGCCAGTGTAATACACATGGTGCCAGTGTAATGCACACGGTGCCAGTGTAATACACACGGCGCCCGTGTAATACACGCGGCGCCCGTGTAATACACGCGGCGCCCGTGTAATACACGCGGCGCCCGTGTAATACACGCGGCGCCCGTGTAATGCACACGGTGCCAGTGTAATACACACGGCGCCCGTGTAATACACGCGGCGCCCGTGTAATGCACATGGTGCCAGTGTAATACACATGGTGCCAGTGTAATGCACACGGCGCCCGTGTAATACACACGGCGCCCGTGTAATACACATGAGGTTACAGAGGTATTCTATATACAAAATTGAGTCTTCGTTACCTTTGGATTTTTCGCTGTTTTTATTAAATATTAAATTATGTAAATTAAAGCTAATTTCACAGTGGCCAACAAAATATTTAATAAGGTATTATAAACAGCTGTAGAAAATTTGACGATTTTTATCCAGAATGTCCATAATTTCTTTTAAACTGCCTGACTATAATGGCTACATTATACTTTCCTCAGGATCTCCAGCAGAGACAGGAGATGGAGGAGCTTTATCCACACAGATATTTCTTTATTACGTGAGTAACACTAAGTACCGATGAGTGTTTCGCACCGTCTAGGTTTTGGAATCTAACACCATGCATGGTGTTAGAATCCAAAACCTATACGGTGTGTTAATGGCTGCTTCGTTGCCATTAATACACTACCTTCTAGTCTGGCAGATGATACTGCCACCATGAAATCATCTACTGATTCCACCGTCAATGTACCAGGAACCTAGCAGCAAATAGGTACGTGGGTGTTAGTCGCCTGGTGTGGGTCGCATCCTGGGGGACAAGACTGAGGACCAGAATGGAAATAAGACAGACGGTCCTCGATGACGCACTGACTTTCTTGGGTTATCCAGGGTGGCTAACCCTGCGGGGTTAAAAATCCTAAAGAAATCCTATCTTAACCACCCAAAACTACTGCCTCTCTCTCTTGTTTACCTCGGAGTCAATGATCTGAGGGGGGTGAGGTGGACCTGCCTCGCATGGGCCAGTAGGCCTGCTGCAGTGTTCCTTCTTTATGTTCTTATCTGAGCACTGATATCTATCCTAACATATATATAACCCGCACACTGAAGAATATAATTTATGACGACGTTTCGGTCCGGTCTGGGACCACTAACCAGTTAATAGTCCGAGTAGGACCAAAATGTCGTATTAAGTTTCAGTCTCTTATGTGTATTTTGTGTATTGTTCCAGTAAGGGTATTGTGTTTTATATTCTTACAATATATAGTTAGTATATAGTTATTAAGGAAAGAGATACATCTCTCTCAATAGTTGCAGTGAAGAGTACCAAGTACTCTACCACGGACACAACCTGTGACCTTGAATCAAGGACACAACAATTATAAAGATGTTCTTAATGAGGCACTCAGCGGGACATCAAAATAATTAAAACCGTAATCAAGTTTTTTCCCCACTGATGGATATACTAAAAACCATATAACTTATACAGCTTAACACCCCTTAAGTTATTTAATATGACTATAAAGTAAAATTGTCGGCCAGATACACGTCACTCGAAAAACAATTATAATTTGTGAATCGATTTCTTGATTTTTTTTTTTTCAATTTATCGCCTACAGGTTTCTTCTGTATTGCATGAGATTAATTAAAACTTCGTCAACATTCACACTGACTCAGCTACCTGTACAACATTCACACTGATTCAGCTACCTGCACAACATTCACACTGATTCAGCTACCTGCACAACATTCACACTGATTCAGCTACCTGCACAACATTCACACTGACTCAGCTACCTGCACAACATTCACACTGTGACTCAGCTACCTGCACAACATTCACACACTGACTCAGCTACCTGCACAACATTCCACAACTGTACTCAGCTACCTGCACAACATTCACAACTGACATCAGCTACCTGCACAACATCACACTGACTCAGCTACTGACAACATTTCACATGACTCAGTCTACTGCACAACATTCACCTGACTCAGCTACCTGCACAACATTCACACTGTGACTCAGCTACCTGCACAACATTCACACTGACTCAGCTACCTGCACAACATTCACACTGTGACTCAGCTACCTGCACAACATTCACAACTGTTGACCGTCAGCTTATCTGCAAAACAATCAACACAACTGACACTGGCTGTGACTGCCTCAGCTACCTGCACAACATTCAACACTGTGACATTTCAGCGAACCCTGCCACCAACAGACACACAATTGTGAATGCAGCGACCTGCAACACACATTCACATGTGACTTTCAAGCTACCTGCACAACATTCACTACACACTGTGGAACTCAGCTACCTGCACAACATCACACTGTGGACTCATCTACCTGCACAACATTTCACACTGTGAATCAGCTACCTGCGCAAACAATGTCACACATGTGACTCAGCTACTGCACAACATTCACACTGTAGACCCTCAGCTACCTGCACAACATTCCACAAAACTGTGGTACTTCAGCTACTTGCACAACATTCACTCCCAACTGTGACCTTCAGCTACCTGCACAACATTCACAACTGGTGACGTCAGCTATTTGCAAACAACATTCAACATCTGTGACTCAGCTACCTACAAAAAACCAAACAGTTACAAGCTGGTGACGTCAGCTACCTGCAACAACTTTCAAACAACACTGTGACTCAGCTACCTGCAAAGCAACATAAAAACAGTGTGGGGGGAACAACATTCACACACTGTGACCGTCAGCTATTTGCAACAACAATCACAAACTGTGACTACAGGCTACTTGCAAAACAACATTTCAACAACTGGGAACCTACTCAGGCTACCTGCACAACAATCCACTAACTAGACTCAGCTACCTGCACAACATGCACACTGTGACCTCAGCTATTTGCACAAACATTCAACACTGTGACACAGCTACCCTGCACAACATCACACTGTGACTCAGCTACCCACAACATTCCACACTGTGGACTCAGCTATTTGCACAACATTACACTGTGACTCAGCTTACTTGCACAACAACATTCACACTGTACCAGCTACCTGCACAAACATTTCACACTGACTCAGGCATACTTGCACAAACATTCACACTGTGACTCCACTACAAGGCACAACATTCACAAACACTGTGACAGCTAAACCTCACAACATTCACACTGTGACTCAGCTACCTACACAACATTCACAACTGTGACTCAGCTACCTGCACAACATTTCACAACATGTGACTTCAGCTACCTCACAAATTCACATTGTGACTTCAGCTACCTGCAAAAAACAACATTGACAACTGTGGGACGTCCAGCTACTGCACAACATTGACAACTGGTTGAACTTCAGCTAAACCTGCACAACCATTCACAACTGACTCAGCTACCTGCATCAACATTTCAACACGACTTCACTAACATGGCACAAGCAATCACTTCACACTGCGACTCAGCTACCGTGCACAACATTCACGAGGTATTGTGACTCTCAGCTACCGTGCACAACATTCACACTGACTCAGCTACCGCAAAACAAAAACATTCACATATTGTGACTCAGCTACTACCTGCACAACATTTCCCCCGAAAGAGACTGACTCAGCTACCTGCACAACTTCAACAACGAACTGACGTCAGTACCTGCACAACATCACACTGACCTCAGCTATACCTGCACAACAACATTCACATCACGAAAGTTAGACCACACAACTGAACTCAGCTAAACCTGCAACAACATTCACATTGGTGGACTCAGCTACCCTGCACAACAGTTCACATTGTGAATCAGGCTACCTGCACAACATTGACACCGTGTGACTCAGCTACCTGCACAACCATTCACACTGTGACTCAAGCTACCCTGCACAACATTGACAAACTACTGTGACCTATCAGCTAACCACCTGCAGCAAAAACATTTCACACAACAGACTGACCAGCTACCACCTCTGCACCACTATTAACATTCACACTGTGACTCAGCTACCTGCACAACATTCACACTGTGACTCAGCTACCTGCACAACATTCACACTGTGACTCAGCTACCTGCACAACATTCACACTGTGACTCAGCTACCTGCACAACATTCACACTGTGACTCAGCTACCTGCACAACATTCACACTGTGACTCAGCTATTTGAACAACATTCACACTGACTCAGCTAACTGCACAACAAACACTGATCAGCTACCTGCACAACATTCACCGTACTCAGCACCTCACAACATTTACACTACCAGCACGACCAGCACCTGCAGATATTAACACTGCCAGCAACAAGCACAACAAATTTACACTGTACTCAGCTACCTGCACAACATTTACACGTGACTCAGCACCTGCACAAAATTCACATGTGACTCAGCACCTGCACAACATTTACACGTGTTTAGCTACCTCACAACATTCACACGTGACCAGCTACCCGCACAACTTCACACTGTACTCCTACCTGCACAACATTCACACGTACCCGCTACCTGCACAACATTTACAAAAGTGACTCAGCTACCTCACACATTCCAAATGTGATTTACTACCTGCACAACATTCACATGTATCACTACCTGCACAACATTCACCTGATTTAGCTACCCGCCAACATTCACACTGTGATTCGCTACCTGCACAAAAATTCACACTGATTCACTACCCTCAAACATTTAACTGACTCACTACCTGCCAACATTTTAACGACTCAGCTACCTGCACAACATTCCAAGAACTCACTACCTGTACAACATTCACACGTGACTCAGCTACCTGCACAACATTCACCACGTGACTCAGCACCTGCACAACATCACACTGTGATTCATACCTGCACAACATTCACACTTGACTCAGCACCTGCACAAATTCAACCGTGACTCACTCCTCACAACATTCAACTGTACTCGCTACCTGCACAACATTCACACGGGCACACTACCGCACAACTTTCCCTGACCCTACCTGCACAACATTTACACTGTCCAGCACCCGCACAACTTCCCTGTGACTCGCTACCTGCACAACATTCACACTGTGACTCACTACATGCACAAAATTCACACGTGACCCCAGCTACCTGCATAACATTCACACTTGACTCAGCTACCTCACAAAATTCACACTGACTCAGCTACACAACATTCACACTGTGACTCAGCTACCTGCACAACATTCACACTGTGACTCAGCTACCTGCACAACATTCCCCTGTGACCAGCTACCTGCACAACATTTAACTGGACCACTACCCACAACATCCCCAAAGTGTTCCTCCTGCACAACATTCACACGACTCAGCTACTTGCACAACATTCACACTTGCTCACTACATGCACAACATTTTAACCCGCCAGCACCTCAAAACATTCACACTGTGACTCAGCTACAGCACAACATTAAAAACGTGATTCAGCTATCTGCACAAAATTCACACTGACCGCACCTGCACAACTTTTTACACTTGACTCAGCTACCTGCACATCATTCACACTGACTCACTACCTTCAACATTTACACTGTGACCAGCACCTCACAACATTCACAAACTCCTTCCCCCTACACCATTTTCACACACGCTTTGACAGTCTGCAAAACAGGGTTAAAGACACTCTCTCGTATTGTTTCATTTCTTTTTACCAAACCTAATTTTTGTTTTTAACATTCAGATACGAGGAGCTGTGTCGAGAGCCTTACGCAAGTACACAAGCAATCTTCCAGTTCCTGAAGGAAGAGACCAGACACCGGCAGACAGCTAGAGAAATCTTTCCTCCCGACGTGACACATGGATCTGCTGCAGATGATAAGGCACATTATCGTTTGAGCAAAAGTGATCGTTACTTCGATAAAGTTACATCAGAATCGAGAAAAGGTGAGCCAGGTTTGGTTACTGAGCTGCCAGAGGGAGTCTTGAATTATCTGAAGACACATACTCGCGTCAGTTTGTTAACCATGAATGACCCGTGGACGACGGTACGAGACACACGGAGTATCTACCAGCAGTGGCGACGCAAGATAACCCAGCAACAACTTAGTGACGTCGAGACACATTGTCGCCAAGTTATTAACATTCTGAATCACAAGTTGTTCGGTACTCTCAGAAATGTTAGAAATTTATCATTGTCACTCTTCGATCAGCCACAATAAATGCCTCTTACCTATACTTTTTTTTCTTTTTAAATTAAAAATTATGCAAATACACTAACCCATCTTATGTCACAAAAGCGTTTGGTCAACAACCGAAAGGTCTCAGGTTCGATTTCCGAGTACTGTACAATATATGGGCTGCTCCCGTTCACCTAACAATACATAAAAACCAAGGTCCTAATAGACCGTTGTAGGTCGCATCCTGGGGGGCGGGAGTTCAAATTATAAAAAAAAAATGCAAATAATAATAACTACTGTGCACCTGCACAGTGAAGTGTAACAGTCACGTGACTAACGTCAGCTGATTTACACCTATCAGCCATACTGGACGTGACTGCCATACTGGACGTGACTGCCATACTGGACGTGACTGCCATACTGGACGTGACTGCCTATCTGGACGTGACTTTCCATACTGGAAAGTGACTGCCATACTGGACGTGACTGCCATACTGGACGTGACTGCCATACTGGACGTGACTGCCATACTGGACGTGACTGCCATACTGGACGTGACTGCCATACTGGACGTGACTGAACAAATTTGTGATAGTCAGTATTTATAACATCACGTGATGAACATTCTCCCAACACCGGAATGGATGCACAAGCCTTAAACCATATACTTACCAGTACGTGGTTTACAACTCAGTAGCAAGGCTCCGACAATAACACAAACACACACACACGCACACACACCCGCCACACACACACACACACACACACACAACAACACACACGCCACACACAAAACACACACACACACACACACAACACACACACACGCAAAGACACACACACACACGCACGACACACACACACGCACGACACACACACACGACACACCGCGCACACACACACACACACACACACACAACACACACACACCACAACACACACACACACACACACACGCACGACACACACACACCACACACGCGCGCGCGCACACACACACACGACACACACACACGACACACACACACACACACACACACACACACACACACACACACACACACACACCACGACACACAACACACACACCACACACACGACCAGCACACACACACACCACACGACACACACAAAACCACAAAACACACACACACACACACACACACACACACACGCACGCACACCACGCGCACGACACACACACACGCACGACACACACACGACACACCGCGCGCGGGGCCACACCAACACACACAACACACAACACACACCACACACACACACGCACACACACACACACACCCCACACACAACACGACACAGCACACACACACCACACAACGACACACCACACGACAACACGACACACACACACACCACACACACACGACACACGACACACACACACACACACACACACACACACACACACACACACACACACACACCGACGCACACACACACAAAAACACACACACAACACACACACACACACACAACACACGCAAGACACCACACACACACACGACACACACACACACACACACACACACACACACACACCACACACACCCCACACCGCGCGCACACCACACACCACAACACCCACACACACACCCACACACACACCACGACCCCCCAACACCACACGACACACGACACACGCAAACGCACACACACACACACACAAAAACACACACACACACACACACCACACCACACACACCAACACACCCCTGCACACCACACACCACACACACACCACACACACACACACACACCACACACACGACACACACACACGCCGACACACAACACACACGCGCGCCGCACACCCACGACACCCACACGACACACACACACACAACACACACACCACACCCCACACCCCAAAACCACACGCACACACACACAACACCAACAGCTGGGTTTGACAAAATTTTTTTTTACTTTCATATTTCTTAATCACTCTTTTATACCTTATCACTACACTGCTGCTATAACAACCAACATAGGGTGCTTCGACTACATAGTTGAGCTCCAAGGGGAGAGAGAGCAGGAATAGGGGGGGAAAAACCAAACACAAAAGGGGAACTACTCAGGAAGGAACTCCTTCAAAACATTTAGTGGGAGAGGGAACTGACAGGAAAAACCCGTACAAGAAATATGACTATGGCAAAAAAATGCAAGAGGCAGAGGGAAAGGGTTTTTCCCAAGGGAAACGAAAAAATGGGAAAAAACAAAAGAGTCCTTGGTTCACCCAAAGTGAGGGAGGCAAAAAATATGTCTAGGAATGGGAAAAAGGACAGAAGACAAGACTCAGAAAATAAAGAGATTACCGAAGAGCCAAAATGAATATGCACAGATAAGAAGGGAGGCTCAGCGACAATATGAAAATGACATAGCATCGAAAGTCAAGACTAACCCGAAGCTGTTGTACAGCCACATCAGGAGGAAAACAACAGTCAAGGACCAGGTAATCAGACTGAGGAAGGGTGATGGGGAATTCACAAGAAACGACCGAGAGGTATGTCAGGAGCTCAACACGAGATTTAAAGAAGTATTTACAGTGGAAACCAGTAGGACTCCAGGAAATCAGAATAGGGGGGTACACCAGCAAGTGCTGGATGAGGTACATATAACCAAGGAGGAAGTGAAGAAGCTGCTATGCGAACTTGACACCTCAAAGGCGGTGGGACCAGACAACATCTCTCCGTGGGTCCTTAAAGAGGGAGCAGAGATATTGTGTGTGCCATTAACAAAGATCTTCAACACATCATTTGAAACTGGGCAACTCCCTGAGGTATGGAAGATGGCAAATGTAGTTCCAATTTTTAAAAAGGGAGACAGACATGAGGCACTAAACTACAGACCTGTATCACTAACGTGTATAGTATGCAAGGTCATGGAGATGATCATCAGGAGGAGAGTGGTGGAGCACCTGGAAAGAAACAAGTGTATAATTGACAACCAGCATGGTTTCAGGGAAGGAAAATCCTGTGTCACAAACCTACTAGAGTTTTATGACAAGGTGACAGAAGACAAGAGAGAGAGGGGTGGATCGACTGCATTTTTTTGGACTGCAAAAAGGCCTTCGACACAGTTCCTCACAAGAGGTTACTGAAAAAGCTAGAAGATCAGGCACACATAACAGGAAAGGCACTGCAATGGATCAGAGAATACCTGACAGGGAGGCAACAACGAGTCATGGTACGTGACGAAGTGTCAGAGTGGGCGCTTGTGACAAGCGGGGTTCCACAGGGGTCAGTCCTAGGACCTGTGCTGTTCTTGGTATATGTGAACGACATAACGGAAGGGATAGACTCAGAAGTGTCCTTGTTTGCAGATGATGTGAAGTTAATGAGAAGAAACAAATCGGATGAGGATCAGGCAGGACTACAAAGAGACCTGGACAGGCTACAAGCCTGGTCCAGAAACTGGCTCCTTGAGTTTAACCCTGCCAAATGCAAAGTCATGAAGATTGGGGAAGGGCAAAGAAGACCGCAGACACAATATAGTCTAGATGGCCAAAGACTGCAAACCTCACTCAAGGAAAAAGATCTGGGGGTGAGTATAACACCGAGCATATCTCCTGAGGCGCACATAAATCAGATAACTGCTGCAGCATACGGGCGCCTGGCAAACCTACGGATAGCGTTCCGATACCTCAATAAGGAGTCGTTCAAGACACTGTATACCATTTACGTCACTCCCATACTGGAGTATGCAGCACCAGTTTGGAATCCACACCTAGTCAAGCACGTCAAGAAATTAGAGAAAGTGCAAAGGTTTGCAACAAGACTAGTCCCAGAGCTACGGGGACTGTCGTACGAAGAAAGGTTGAGGGAAATCGGCCTGACGACACTGGAGGCCAGGAGGGTCAGGGGAGACATGATAACGACATATAAAATACTGCGCAGAATAGACACGGTGGACAAAGACAGGATGTTCCAGAGATGGGACACATACACAAGAGGTCACAATTGGAAGTTGAAGACTCAGATGAATCAAAGGGATGTTAGGAAGTATTTCTTCAGTCATAGAGAAGTCAAGTCGTGGAATAGTCTAGAAAGTGAAGTAGTGGAGGCGGGAACCATACATAGTTTTAAGGCGAGGTATGATAAAGCTCATGGAGCAGGAGAGAGAGGACCTAGTAGCAATCAGTGAAGAGGCGGGGCCAGGAGCTATGACTCGACCCCTGCAACCACAAATAGGTGAGTACAAATAGGTGAGTACACACACACGACACACACACACACGACAAACACGACACACACACACACACACACACAACACACACACGACACACACACACACGCACGACAACACACACACACACACACACACACACACACACACACACACCCCACGACACACACAACACCCCCACACACGACGCACACACACACAAACGACGCCACACACACACAAAGACACACACACACACACACACACACACACCACACACACACGCAAGACACACACACACACGACACACAACACACACACACCCCCACACACACGCACACACAAAACGACACACGCGTGCACACACACACACACACACACACACACACACGCCACACACACACGCCACACACACACACGCACGACACACACACACACGACACCCCGCACACGCACCACACACACACACACACACACACACACACCCCGACACACACACACACACACACACACACACACACACACACAACGACACACACACGACACACACACACGCACCACACACACACACACACACACACACACACACACACACACACACGACGCACACACACACGACGCACACACCACACACACGCAAGACACACACACACACACACACACACCACCACACACACACACACACACACACACACACACACACACACACAAAACACAAAACACACACACACACACACCACACGCACGACACACACACACACTCGACAACACACACACACACGACACACACACACACACGATACACACGCACGACACACACACACACACACACACACACACGACACACACACACA